CACACACACACACACACACACACACACACACACACACACACACAACCCCCTGTTGGTCAAGGAGAAGGTGCCAACATTTGTCAGGATCCCTGGCATCGAAAGTGCCAGCAGGGTCACACGCACAGTTAGGGGCCGAGGGCACCACGCCAGCATGTTGGCAGAGGCTGCTGCTGGATTCGGGGTAGGTAAAGTCTGTTAAACTGAGAGGCATTAGCAGAGGGGAAATAAAGTACACTGCAGCGCTCGTATGTAGAGATGCACGCCATGTACCTTACTGCATACTACACTGCAAACTAACTGCATGCAGCAAGAGCGTTATAATATTTGCAGTATTAATATATAGTACTTTAGTTTTATTCTCAGTGCGAATACTAGAGGGTAAATTCTTATGGTAAAAATTACATAATCTAATGAGTACACTTAATACTTTTTAATGCACAGTAATGTCCCACAATTCACACTAGAGACAATTAAGAATAAATGAATAACTAAAAGATGTTGTTGTATACATAAAGAAAATCTAATTCATGTTAAATCACATAACCGCTGCTCTATTTTGCACAAGCACAAAATGATGAAAATGATGTGATATGTTGAAAGGCATTAATAAATCTGTGAGTATAAAATTCCGGTTTTACAAAATGAAACACAATAGTTTTCATTTTTTTCATCTTTCTTCAGCTGCCTCCTTGACGTCTGCTGTTTGTTCTATTGTTGTAGAGCACCGAGCAATATGTTATTTTTCACTAACTGAAGGCAGTGATTCTGAGCTTTGCCTTAACAAGCAGACAACATTACAGTTTGCTGCATGCCTGAAATGTTGAACTTATTCTCTGTACTACATACATGCAATATTTCATGACCTTCTGAGGTTGATGAACTTGCTTGGATATCAAATTTTCTTCCTTCAAAATCAAACAGTAATCCAAAAATAACAGGATAGGTCAAATATGACCTGCATGTCTGTGTTTTTTGTTGGGTGTGGGTGGGTGAGACGAGGGTCCACAATAGACTTAAATTGCCTACCTCTAAAAGCTCACTGTCGGCAACCCTCTTAGTTAATCAGGTCTTGTGTCCACCTTTATTTCTCAAAGGACATTTCAACCACTCTAATAACCTTCCTTAACCTCTCTTATTTTCCCTCTAAATTTTGATATATTATTATGCTATGCTATTATCCACGTGCATCTCCACTCAAGTTGGACCTCTTCCTGTCCTCCTCCTTTACCGAGGCCGGGACCCCCTTCCTGATTACCATTCCATTAAAGCAGCTTCTCCTCTCTGTGAATGACCACCTACCCCATCCCTCGTCCCACCGCCTTTATTTAGAGGACTCTTCAGCGTCTCTGTCTCTCTGTTCCCTTCCTCTGTTATTGCCACCACAACACGTGCCTCTGCTTCTAATTGGACCCCATCTCCTTCCCCTTGGGTGAGGGCTTGAGGGGCCTGGGGGCAAAAGGAACGGATCCACACCTCCCACCCTCCTTTCTTGACTTTCTCCCAATGAAATGCCTGGTTCTTAATTACAGTCACCCAACACTGATTGTTATTGACTGAAACTCCCGTGGCTCAGGACGAATGACGGACAGATTAAGCTCATTACAGGCCTGTCCTCCAAGAAGGAGAGTGAAAAGAAGAAGAAGAAGAAGACTACAGTGACGAGGAAGAAGATGAGAAGGAGAGAGAGAGGTCTCGGCAAGACAATGCAAAGTCACACATCAGCATTACTGGGGCACGAGCAGCCTTTTAACTACCAATGATTGATCATAAACAGGCATGCAGGATTTGGACAGAAGGCCAAAAACATTCAGTAAAACCCAACAAAGTGTAGCATGCGGACTGAACAACAGATATTGTGCTGATGACTTGAAAGAAAGTAGGGGTTTCCTACATTTTCTGATGCTCCTGATCCAAAGATGCTTTAGCCTCTTGTACATGAAAAGTGAAAATTCTCCTAAGATAAAACAATCCAGCCATTTTCATATAGGCTAATTAAGCCAGGAAAAGCCTTCCTAAAAATGTGCAGCCAAAAAAAAATGTAAATAAATAATAAGTTTTGGAAAATATGTCTTTGCTGTCTCTATTTTTTGTGTGTGTTTTTCTTTTAGAAATGTCTGATAATTAATAATGAGAAATAGGATATTTTAGAAAATTTTAGAAAAAAAACCTCGCTGCCAAAGAAAAAGAAAAATTATATATACCGTATCAGGATGAGGCTTGGTATATTTGTCATCATCACATTAAGAGTTATTAGAAAAAGTCAGAATTTTGTAAACATGTGATGTAATTAGAGAGAGTGCCGAAGAGTTTCACTCTTAAGACCAAGTGAGGTAACCAGCTCTCACATCAGTCCCACGTTTTCCATCTTTATTCTGACAGTAATGCGCTGTTTTGGATTTTAACAAAAGCCCATAAAATAAAAGGAAAAAACAGTGCCGAAAGATGCTTCTTCTGTTTCTTCGTGCTTCAGTAATTGAGAGGGATTTAGGTAGAATACTTTTCAAATTTGCCTGACTTAATGTGCCCTCACTCTGACTCCATGTATCCAGACACAAATGCTGCAAATCAAATCAAAAAAAAAAAAAAGTGGCGCATTATCTCTGTCCAAAAGATTACTCTGGAACGGATCCCACACATGGCAGATTCGGTGCCAGATGTATGATTCGCATGCAAAGACATCAAAAATCACAAACTAGAGCAGATTTGCGGTCTGGGCCTAATGCCTGCGGTAGACACCACATCGTATTAGCCCCATGAAAGCACTGAGGAACCTGTGACACGCACGACCACGTATTCAAGTGAACGTAAAGTATTTAAAATCATTAAAAAGTAGCACTTCTCTATTGTGACAAGAGTGAAAATACACCTTGCTTAAAAGTACTGGTGGAAAGTCAGGAATTTATTGTTTTAAGTATAAATTTATGTTTGATTAAAATTCAGTTTCACTAAAATTATTCATCTCTTTACTTCAATGCTTTCATGTAACAACAACCTTAGCAATAATTTACTTTTTAGAATAAAATATTAAGAAATACAAATCATTGTTTTTTTATGGCCACTTCATGGGAAAAAAAGATGACAATGTAACATTTTTATCTGGCGCTGTTCACCTGTCGCTGTTTTGATGTCTGTGAGTTGGTAACACCTATCGACAAGTGGTTTTCTTTTTTGCTACTTATTTTGAAAATCCAAAAAACAAAACAAAAAACAGAGGCCGTCAATATCGATTGATCTGATAATCCACAGAAAAAAACCAATAAAAAATAAAATGAAAAATGTAAAATTTTTAACGTGTGTGGGTTCTTCATTTCTCTTCTATCGATCAGTTCTCCACATCCTCTGATTTATCTGGTTATCTGTGGTGTTGTGAATGAATATTATTGTGTCTAATGTAGTTAAAATAAACCAGTACTTAAACAGCTACAAAAAGCAAAGATGCAAAAATGCAGTACATGGTCAAAGCAGTAAATGGGAGCACCACAGAGCATTTTTCTAAGTATTCATAAGTTATAGTTAATCCAAAAAGCAGACATTTTTACTCATATTTTCTATTGCTGCGGTTGTACTTTTACTTGTCTCCAATTGTATCCAAAATATAAAGAACCCACCACCTAAAAGACAGTTTTACTGACAGCTCAGGTGAGTCAGTGAAATGTGAAAGGAAAAGCGGGAAAGAAAAAAGTACCTTGTATCGTTCTTTTGAAAAAGGCTTTGCAGGCCTCACAGGAGGCCACTCCGTAGTGGTACCCCGAGGCAGTGTCGCCACACACCAGGCACAGCCTCTTGGGAATTCCATTGAGCATGTACTCGCACTTGATTGGCGAGTCATCGGCCATGCCGCCGGAGCACTCCTCGTAGCGGCGTAAGCAGGCGCTGCCGACTCCCAGCATGCCTGGGTTGAACATTGGGGGGGAGTCCAGGGTGTGTGACCGTCCGCTGCCAACGTTAACGTAGCCGCCGCTGGCGTCAGAGTTGCCACTGGGGCTGTGGTGACTGCCAGTGTCTATGAGCGAGGAGGAAGGACTGGAAGGCTCAGTTTTGACATAAGAACCACAGCTCGAGGATAGGTGCCGGTCCTCGGAGGGCATTCTGGTTAATAACCTGGAGAAACACAAACAGAGTCGGAACGTCAGTCAGTTTTGAAACTGAATTTACAGGGAACGCAATGGTTTTCCAAATTTTTGAAAAGAAATGAATGTTTAATTCAGTTCAACTGAATTTTTATAATGTCACCGCAAAATGCTTTATCCTGTCCAGTAAAGACCCCACAGTATAAGAGCTAAAAACCCAACAATCAGACAACCCCCCTATGAGAAGGCAATTTGCGACAGTGGGAAGGAAAAACTCCCTTTTAAGTGGGAGAAACAAGGTTAGAAGGGCAGCCATCCGCTTTGACTGACTGTGTGTGAGGAAAAAGAGAAAAGAAAAGGAGAGCATTGGGTGATATGTGGAGTTCAAACCACTTGTTTTAAAGCACATATATAAGTAGGCAGAAGGACACCATGGTTTGTGTTGTTTTCAACTTTTGTTTCCACGAGTTGTTTGGTTGGATTTAGGAAAAAAATTGTGATTTGGATTTGGAAAAAAACAAAACAAAACACAAAAACTGTCATATTGGCATAGAAACCACATCAGGGGACACTGAGCTTTGGCATAAAAATAATATTTTATTACACAAACTAATAACATAAAAGTAACATATCTCAGTATTAATAATTAGCAAACTTTTTAAAAATATTAACCGTTTTACCGCATTTTCTTCACACATTTTTAAAACTTTTTCTTTAAATAAAAAGAACGCAAAGGCTCTCAAAAAATAGAGGACCGAACAATAGAGCACAAAAGCTTCGCTGTGACTGTACCGAGTCTTGCCTGCTACCATCATCCGCCACTCATTCTGCGAGAAATTCATCAGCCCGTTCACCTGAGTTTGATAGATTGCCTTACACACACAACCATTAATGCGCCGGAATGCCAAGTGATATAGTGCAGTAGCTCATTCCTCTCAGGCAAAATGGTAACTAACGACCATGTCAACAGATGCCCCATACATCTTGCAAACAATGCCCACAATTGGTCGGCTGCCAGAAGTAAATGAATGAATGAAACTTCAGAAGGCTGTTAATGGACAAAGAGAGGTGTTACACTCAGCATATGGAGGATTGTGGGTAATAGATGACCCAATCAATAGTCCCAGTTATTTTGCCAGTGGAGGTGCTGGGTTACAGCTGGCAGAGGAAGTGCCTTATTCCAAGAATTTCATCATAAAGATTACAAAGGTAGGATTAAAGAAAAAAAAATCCTCATAATGCAGGGTAGAAGCTAAAGAGAGTATTCTTTATTTGCCTTGTTAAGCTTTATAAGAAATTATACACTTTGCTTAACGGTGATGTTATAACTCCATAAGTATGCTTGTTTACTTAACGATTACTGCTACTGGTGGGTAGTCATTTCTCTTTGAGGCCGCAAAGCCAGTGTATGTTGCGCTCCTTGCTGTAATTCAATAATATTCTCTCAAACGAAGCATGAAATGAGGCCCGGGTTGGTCTTAGAACTGCTGGCTCTGTCTGTCACAGTTGGTGTTGATCTTACAGAACTTCAGCCCTTAAATTCTTATGAGTCATAAATATGGGGTGAGAGTGGCGGAAAGGCGTGATGGGAATGTCTGAAACTAATAGCAAGCTAATGCTGCTTTACAGTCTGAACTTTTTGGCTTTTTTTACTGCCAGGAGCTGTCTCCATTTTTCTTTTTTTAAATATGGTGTTGTGTTTCCGAATGCATTTTCCTTCTTTTGCCTCCTTTGCACAAGTGTTTATTTAAAGCCAAGAAACCTCTTTTTTTTTCTTTTTTAACTGCAAACGAGTAGTGAGAAGAAGAGAAAAAGAGGAGGAGATAGCCTCTACCCCTGGGCCCAGATCAGATCTATTGATCCTCGGCTTCCTTCCTGTTCCAGATGAGGCATGAAAAAATAAACCCTCCTCTTACGGGCCCCAGACATTCCTTATGCATTTTTAATCAGTCGAGACTGTTAACACAGTGCGAGATTGAGAGATACAGCATTGTGTTAGCCTTCATTCTAAGGATATTGTGGCTTATAAAAGACTCAGATGACTCATGTTAAATCTTGTTAGCAATCAGCATTCACCTAGAGTCAATTGGACGATATATTTTCTCCAAGCTGAAGTGGAGAGAGACCAGCCTGGTAATAGTTAATACATCATTGCAGCCAGATAGGGGGGGATTCCCTATGGAATAGCACATTGTGGCATACGTAAAAAGTAGTTCATTCCACACTTAGCACACGGCAACGCTGGGGAGATGTTTTTTGTTAGGTTTAATGGAAATTTCTAAT